ATTATAAAGATAATTTTGAATATTTGTTGCCTAAATTATGTAATGATATCCGAATCTTTGCAACACAATACAATAGCAATACATAATTTCAAAAAATCATTGGTGAATTCTTTAATTAATAAAATTTGTAGGCCAAATAAAATTTTTTATTTTCCGGTCCGCTGCAAAGTATAAAAATCGTAAAAATTTTATTAATATTTGCCATCATGAGATGGATTTCGGGGTAGAAGCGAAATGGCATTTTTCTTCTACAGCACACGGAAAAAGTGTTTGTGATGGGATTGGTGGCACTGTTAAAAGATTAGCCGCTAGAGCTAGTTTACAAGGCCTTACTCAAAGTATACATCATATGATTTGTACGAGATAGCTAAAGAAAATATTAATGTCATATATTTTGAATAGATGACCAAAATAAATTATGATTACGAAGATCTATGATTTTCAAAAACTAGATCTATACCTGGAACACACAAAATACACACCATGATTTCAACAGATCTACATCAATTTAAAAGTAAAATGTATTCCAATTCAATAGAAAGTACTATAGAATAGTTATCATTTAATGATGAAAGTATAATTATTGAACAAATATCAGGATACCTAACGTATCCTTATGATTCTAATTGGTGGTTAGCTTTGTTTTAGTGAAAAATCAAAAGCAGGAAGAAATATATAAAGTTTTTACACCCAACCGGACCTTCTAATTCCTTTACATTTCCAAGTATAGACGACACTCTTTGCTTGCCCAAATGCCATATATTAACATTAGTTTCACTGTTAAATGCTACTGGCCGTAGTTACACATTGTCGTCACAAGAAAGTAAATGTGCTACCGAAAAATTAGAATCTTTTGAAAGTGAGTTTAAATTTAAATTATATCAATTTTTTTAATATTTAGGGCGCCATATATGAAATGCACAAGATTCTGATTCATATATTGAAGAACTCGAAACTTAATTGAACATATTTTATTAATATTTATTAAATATATGTTATATGGGCAAAATTTTTTATAATAAATTATAAATAAAATAATAAATTGAATTTCTTTTAGCGATAGACAATTTCTATAATTGAATGAAAGCCCCATTTATTGTTATTTTCACTTACAAGATGAATAATCCTTTAAATTATATCAAATAGTCCAAAATAAACCATTAAAAACTGATTATTATATAATTTTATACAAAAACGCCCCCTTTCGGGAAAATATTTATACACTTTCATAAACATTTTTATCGATTTTGAGAATGAAGATGGCCGCGTCCCAGACCAATTTTTTTTTATAAATATAAAGGAAGAGTTTAATAATGTCTACTAAATTTTTTAAAAAATTGAAGGTCGTATTATTTCCAAAGAATCATTTTTAGTCCTTATATATTAAATAAAATGGCCGAAAATTGGAAAAAAAAATAAAAATTTTTTTTTATCTAAAAGTAGAATCTTTGTACGTAATTTGATATTAAATTTGTTATTTACAATTATGTAGTTTTTAAGATATGCCTAATTGAATGAAGGCAGATAATGGTAAAAATACGTCATTTTTGCCACTTTGAACCCTAATATCTTCAAAAATATAAATGTTAGGAGGCTAAAATTTTGGCTATTTCTTAGTTACATTGACCTTTCTTTGCTTACCAAATTTTAAAAAAATCGAAGGGGGTCGGCCGAATTGTGGTTGATTTGTCATGGAATGACCCTTATTTATTTATGATACAAGTAAAATTATATTATAGTATTTATCTACAAAATTTAAATTTAAAATGCATTAAAAAAAATTGTTATATATTTAATAATTAAATAATATAATGTTGTACATTATTTTCATATTTTTTATATATAATTAATGATTTTGCAAGAAATATATTAAAACAATTTGAAAAGAGATGTAAATGATATTTATATATATATGATATTACAAATGCAAGAATTAATAAGTCATACTAGAAAATAAAACTAATAATACATAAATATCACAAACAAGTAATGATAAATACTTATTAAAGATAATGAATAAAATAAAACTAGTATTATTTTTTTTAGAGATGCCATTTAGCCATATACTCCGAATATAAGCTATATTTAAAACAACACAAAAAATAACCTGCAAATTCTAATAAATCATGATTTAATTTTTTTTCTTATTTATACATTTTCAACTCCCATTAAATATACTACTCTCCCTTCCCTGTTTAAGCTATTAATACAAAAATTAATATTAAAATCCCTGGTTATTATAATTAATTCATCAATAAATATTTTATTAATTATTGCAAATATTCATTATTATATGTGTAATACTATGTTCTTCACAAATAAATAATAAAAATTGTATTTTATAAACTATTTTAATTTAATTGGTAATGAAGTATCTTGTATTTAAGATACTCTAATTAAGTAAAAGATACAAGTATCTTTTATCTTGTATCTTTTTGATATTTTAAACAAGATACTAGTATCTGTATCTAAGATTCATTTTTTTTATAAAGAATCTGTATCTGTATCTAGATTCTTTTTCCGGAGGACCTGCCCAACTCTGGTTATATCATATTATAGTTTTAAAAAATCAATTTTTTCTTACCATTTTCGTGCCAAAATTTTAAATCATATTTTCGGATATCAAAACTTGCTAAAAATATAAGTAATAATTTTATTAATATAATATATATATATATTAATATTTTTATACAAAAATTATCATCTTTTTAAACATTAGGTGCTGGAATTTGAGCATAATGCCATTTGGCATCAATGGTCATTCCTTATGCACTAAAATATTTTTTTATCAATAAATGGGAATTTTAGTCAAATTATTTAGAATATTTAGATTTAGGGTTAAAAAAGAAGTGGGGAGTGGGGGGGGGGGTAACCAGATTATATTTTGATAATAGTTAACTGTATTGATTATTTAATGTCTAATAGTTTTCTTGGATATAGGGAGAGGTCCTAATAAATATTTTATATATATAACTTGTAATAATATGAGATACTTTTTAATCACTATGCATTTAGATATGACTACACTTATCCCCGAGGGTGATATTTCTGAAGCTGATATAGAGAGCTCAGATGAAGAAGACAATTATTATCCTTTGCTAGGAGATGATTTGCCAACCTCATCTTATATTACAAATGAACTAGGTCTTGAATTGGAGGATATAATCGAAGATACTACTATAACTAAAATAAAAGATAACCCTCTTTGGTCTAAGAAAGACATTGGAAACATGAATACAGAATTTACTCCTATGGTGGAAATTCCTGAACCAGATTCAACTCCTCTAACCTATTTTCGTAAATTTTTGGACAACCAAATGATCAGCAATTTTGTATCAGAAACAAATATTTATTCCTTCCAATGTTGTGGAAAATCTATAAATACTGATAGCAATGAAATTGAAAAATTTATTGGAATACATTTGTATACTAGCTTAGTTAAGATGCCTTCTATACGGCAGTATTGGTCGGTTGAAACATCCATTCCACAAGTATCAGAAACTATGTCCCGCAATAGTTTTCTTTTGATCCGAAAATTTTTCCATATTAATAATAACAAAAGTATGGTAAATAGAGAAGATAAAGGTTACAACAAATTATTCAAAATTCAACCTTTCATATGCCAGCTAAAAAAAAATCAACTCAAAGAGAAGTTAGCTGTAGACGAATTCATAATTCCTTTCAAGGGGCGCTCTAAATTAAGGCAATACATTAAATCGAAGCCCCATAAATGGGGGATAAAAGTGTTTGCCCTATGTGGCTCTTCTGGATTTATGTATGATTTTGAAATATACCAGGGAAAGTCTACTAATATTATAAAATCATATTTAGGTATCAGTGAAGATATCGTACTTCGCCTGTCTGAAATAATACCATGAAATAAAAACCATAAATTATATATGGATAATTTTTTCCTCCTCATACCAATTTTTTATGATTCTTAAAAAAGGGATATTTGGTGTCCGGAACGGTAAGGTCTAATCGATTATCAGGATGCGCACTTAAAAACGATAAGGCTTTAAAAAAGGAAGGAAGAGGTGCTGTAGATTATAAAAGTGAAAAAAACGGTATTATTATCTGCAAATGGCAGGACAACAAAGCTGTTATTACAATATCTAATTTTATAGGTGTTTTACCTATGACCAAAATTAAACGATGGTCTGTATCGAACAAAACCTTTATAAATGTAATGCCCGCTATAATTAAAAACTATAATGAGGGAATTGGTGGAGTAGATCTTCGCGATATGCTGGTGGAGTTATATAGGACAGATATTAAATGGAAAAGATATTATATGCAAATGGTTTACCATTTATTGAATTCTTGTGTAATAAATGCATGGCTCCTTTATAGACGCCATATGAAAGCAAAATATCAAATTTATGACACTATTGGTATTTAAATCTCAAATAGCAAACTGATGCTAGCAGGAAAGGATAATAACAAGAAGACTGGAAGACCTTCCAGTATAATTGTAAAGAGAAGAAAAGCCATAAATATTGTCCCCATATCGGATATAAGATATGACCAAGTAGGTCATTTCCCAAAGCCCGTCAAGAATTATGTGTCAAAAGTGTAATATTTATTTATGTTTAAATAATAAACGAAATTGTTATTTGTCATTTCATATGAAATAAAATATTTTTTTAAATGAACTTGCATTTTGCCCATTGATGACATTTGGAATCATTGAATATTTTTTGATAGAAATACTCGAAATAAGTTTTTTTGATAAAAATGTGTTATTTGTGTCTATAATAAGTATCTCTTAAAAAAAAAATTTTTCATCGAAGGAAAAAAAGTCTGGTGCGAAAGGGTTAAAAAGGGAAAAATATATAAATAGTAAAAATTGTCCAGCCCAGCCTAAATATTTTTTGGTCGAGGGGCTTCCAATATGCCAACCTCTATTTTGTATATCTTTAACCATTATTGAGATATTCATAATTTTTGATAAAAATAGGAGAATTTTGTGCATTTAACCAGATTGTCTGATTGTTTACCATGTTTTTGGGAGGTTATATAAATGGAATCAATTTCTGTATTATAGACAATTTGAACATTAATAGGCTTATGTATGCATTTGCAGTCTATGTTGGAACCTTTCAATTCTAAATTGATATGCCAATTAGGACCTAAGGCACTACCAGGGATAATTTGCTCATGTTGAGATATAGTTCTGTCACCAGTGGGTGAGTATTTCTTATATTGATTTTTATAAAAATTATCTTATTAATTAAATCAATCTAATTAATTATTTCTTTTAATTAGTATACCTGATTTTTCATATTCTTCTTGATTTATATATTTTGATATAATATAATCAGAAGCTCCAGGACTTAAAAATTTTTTAGCAATACTTTCATCTTTTATGACCCAAATAATCTTTGTACAAATAAAATTAATTTTATTAAAATATCAAATAAAAACTATTAAACCATTTAGAAGATTTAAAAAATATATGTATAGTGATGAACTAATTTTAATTTATGCCAATACTAAATGTCATTACAATAATATATATTAATTGAAAATATAACCTGACAATCAACAATTTTGTAAACTAGTTCTGTTGCTATCCCACCATTTCCAATAATTAAAACACGTTTGGCATGCTTTAAAAAAATTTTTAATTCATGAACACTACTAGTATCTCTTAATGATATGATGTAAGAATTTGATAATTTATCAAATATATTTTTATCTATTAAATTGTTTTGAAGATAAATCTGAGGTGAAATTATATTAGGTTGGCTACCAGTACATATACATAATGATTTTAAGTATTTAAAGGTTTTATTAGAGGCTGTGGTAATCTTTATATTTTGAGTTAAATAAAACTATTAAGATATATACTGTTTTTTGAATATGATTGAAAATTAAGACAGAATCAATGATGATATCTATTCTATGGTGTTTAGATTTAAACTCTATATAGTTTTCTTCTACTACATCAAATGATTCTATATGTTTTGTTAACTAAAATAGATTATATTAATATATACAAATAATCTTACCTTCATAAAATTGCAAATTGTTTTTAATAAGGGGTGTGATGTTAGAATAAGAGTATTATATTTCTGAGATTCAATATATTCAGCACATGTCACACCTGCTATTCCACCACCAACTACAATAAAATCATAGATTTCCATTTTTTCTAAAATATTTTAAAAAGTTGTAATCCTTAATCAACCACAATATTTTCATTCTTAGAATAAGTATTTTATCAAATATTCATTCATTCATTCATTACCACGCCAGTGCAATTTCATCACCCACCAGGAGTTGTAGCGTGCACCATGTATATTCACTAGTATATAGATCCTATACATGATGTATACCCGTTTTATTATAGTGGACGGTACCACTATGTAGTCAGCTAGCATAGTAAAGAAGAGAGGAGTAAGAAAGAGGGGATCTATTAGTTCCGTTACCGGCAAAATAGTGTTAAGAATTGTAGCTAATATTAATAATAATGTACCTGACACCTGGTTAGATTTAAGAGATGGGGAAAAAAAAAATTTCTTAATGTTTGGTAAGTATATCCAACGCAATGTCTATAGAATCCATGTTATTCACTATTATCATTATTATATTGAGCCTGAAGATCGTTATCATTATCAATATTCACGGTTTTAAGATTATCATTGACTTCGTCAAAAATCATAATTCCTATTGCGCCAGAACATAAGTTGTCATTAGACTGGGGATAAGAGATTGGAAATAAGGCAGTGTGAGGAATAGTCTGATACGTCCACGATTCCTGCTCTAGTTTAAACCATATTTAAGCATGTATTGCAGATGTTCCTTTAAATGTTTCTTGTTTTTGCTGAGTGCAAGAAAATCTATAAACGTAAGATTGATCAAGTCCATGTCCTTCAGACATTTTGCCAGCCAATCGTATTTGGGGATTCTTCGCCTTCCATAATCCGGGGTCCACTCCATGGACGAAAATATCATATTATCTCGTGAATGTCTTAAGCAGTGGCCGAGTAATTCTAATCTCCTCAAAGGAATGAGTCTCTTGATAGGTAGGATGTCGCACCTGTTCCAGAGAGTTGTGTTTGGGGTGTTGTATGGATAGTAAGTTTTAGTGATTCTTCTTAAGCACTTGTTTATGAAGGTCTGGGATGTGTTGATGTTGCTTTTAGTGTCCTGCCATGTTTCCAGCCCGTATGTTAAGATGGGTAGAATTAGGGATTTAAAGAGTCTTATTTTTAGGTTCGTAGATACCTGGTTGGACGAGCATAATTTAGTTAGCTGATGATATCGGGATTTGACCTTCTTGGTCCTCGACTTAGTATCCAAAATGGTGGTGCCTAATGACATAATTCTGGTTCCTAGGTACTTAAAATCCGAGACCGTTTCTACCACATTATCCTCAAAGTTAAAGGGGTCGCTGTTATATAGAAGGATATTGGATGCAATTAACTTTGTCTTTGAGTAGTTGACTTTCAGTCCATATCCAAAGCAATTTTTGACAAACAATGACAGCAAGTTTCTTAATTTGCACTCAGAGTTAGCTAATATGCATACATCATCGGCATAGCATAGAAAATTTAGAGAGTTGTGTAAGTTATTATCATATTGTTGATTCAGATATCGAGGGTTAAGAGCATGTTCTTGTTTGAAGGATTTATTCAGAATATCGTTCATTATTACATTAAATAGCATAGGTGATAAAATGCATCCTTGTTTCAGTCCTCTGTTGGCCTTAAATGGTTGTGATTTTAAGTTCAGATGTTGTGGTATCACGTTATGATTATCGTATATCATTTTTATAAGCGAAATCAGATGTTTATCTATTCCTATGTCCTCCAGTAAGGGCCAGATCTTATGCTGTATGATGGAGTCAAAGGCTTGACTTAGATCAATCATTAGGGCAAATATTGGGAACTTATGCATTCTAGCTTTCTCCAGAATAACCTTAAGCGCCATGGTTAGTTCCGTCGTGTTCCTGCCCTTCCTATATGATGTGATGGCGTTTGAGAGGTTTCTATCGATGATTGGTTTAATCCTGACGGCTATAATATACGTGAACATTTTTAGGGTAACTGGGATCAGTGCAATTCCTCTGTAGTCCTTCAGGCTAGTCGGGTTCTTATTTTTAGGGAAATTAAGTATTATCGAGGTCATCCATTCCTCTGGGAAATTGCCAGTATTCCATATCTCATTAAAGAGGGGAAGCAATAGACTAGCACTTTAATCAGCATCTATCTTCCAAAGTTCCGCAAAAATCACATCGATTCCGGCTGCTTTATGGGTTTTTAGTCTTTTAATGCGATTGATTATATCTATTCTGTTCAGGTTCCGATTAGGTGGTTGGAAAGGATAGTCACATAATAGTTTAGGCCACCTTGTTCTGTAAAGGTTCATGTAATGGTCTGTCCATATCGCTAATTGTTCCCTGGGGTCCGTTATAATTTTATTATTTTCAATGTGTAATCTTGGTAGAGGATTGGATTTAAAGGTAATGAATAACTTAAGAGATTGGAAAGCCTTGTAAATATTATTGTTGTCAAAGCTATATTGTATGGATCTAGATAAGTTGGCAATAAAATATCTTTTATCTGTTCTTATGCAGTGAGTTATGTACCTTCTGTGGTGTTTAGTATATTGGTTATAGGAGATATTTGTTGTTAAGTTTTTAATTATCTGTATTGTTGAAGGGGATAGCCATTCTTTACGTTTAATTCGTGGTCTTAAGCATGAATTCATACAGCTTGATAGACTTAGTTTCATATCCTTCCAAGTTATATTAGGATTGATCATGCCATTTTGGGTGTTTCTCCAAGTTGTTAGATTGGTGATGAACTCTTCCTTTATAACCGGATCATTCAGCTGTGCCAAGTCTTTCCTCATTATGAAGTGTGTAGAGTTAAGGTGGCTATGTTGATTTCGGTTTGGAAAAATGCTATTTTTTATCCTTAGCTCGCATCCTAGTGGGTAATGGTCCGTAAATAAGGTGAAGTTCAGTTTGCTGACGACTTTGATGTCCTTCACCCACTTAAATATATTGTTGGAAATTACAAAGAAATCAATTTGTGAGGTAGTGCCAAAAGATGGGCTTTTGTAGGTTATGGTGTGATGGTTAGGATGATTGAAGAACGTATTTCCTATTTTCAAATTGAAGTGTTCACAGATTTCTATTAGTTTTTTGCCATTAGTGTTCGTACTTTGTACTAGAGTGGCGTTCCCGAGGCAGGTAGAATTATTAGGCTTCCCGACCGAGGCATTGAAATCGCCAGCTAATATGATACTATCTCGATGAGGTAGTTCTTTTAAGATATTTTCCAGCTCTATGTAAAAAACTTTATTATTATGTGGTGAATAAATATTGAACAGGTGAATTTTCTTGTAACCAATATTTAAGGTAAGGCAGCAAATGCGACTGGAAATTGGATTAAAGCTTACATATTTAATTAGTTTGTTATGGATTAAGATTGCTACACCTGCCCAAACATGTTCAGCATTCGAGCTGCAGTATAAGGTGTATTCTAAGAGATTTCTTACTTCCGTTTCTTTCAAATGAGTTTCTTGTAGAAGGAGGATGTCGTATCGTTGATCGTTTATAGTTTGCCTAAGAATTGTTAGTTTGTCACTTAACCATCTAGACATTTTAATATTTATTAATAAATCGTTATCTTCTATATGTTTATACATAGACCACCTAATAAGCCAGAATAAATCAGATTTCATTTTATATTAATTTAAATTTTCATTCTTGCAATCCTTTATAATGCTACATATAATTATGCTTGTCTATCCTAACTATTTCAATAAATATAATTAATATTTCTATTCTGTTATGATTCTAATATAAAAATGTCAAATAATAAGTAAAATATTGCGAATTGGAATATATCACATTTTTATTTTTTAATTTGTAAGCTATTAAAAAAAATGTAAATCAAGAATCTTTTTTTTAATATAAAGTAACCTATCATAATCATTTATAAAAATAACATAAATTTCATATAATGGTTTTATGTCCCACATGCAAACAATGTATCCCTATTAAAAGGCAATAGAATTATTTGTCATGGTAAACGTGCCAACAGATGCCCTTCGACTTTCTTTAACAATAACGAACCTGTTATGCCCCCATCTTGTTATCCTTCACTTAATGGCATCAATATCGAACTAATTCCTACAATTTTAAGTTTCAGAAATACCTTCAATAGAGAAACAATTCCTACATCTTATAATAACTTTTAGAATTGATTTACCTATTTCTTGGATATGCCATCACATTAACAATGAATTTTAAAAAGTTTATAAGACTTGAAACGTTAAGCCTTAATTGATACACTATCATGTCCATGATAAATTGGAAATGTGCAATTGTACAAAGAGTTCAAAAGGATTTTTTTTTAATGTGAAGTGCATTACATTAGTATATCATTGCATTACGTTTGGACGAGTTCAAGCCTCCAACTGTATCATCATCAATAAAATAAGTTCGTGTCCGGAATTATTTTATTTTAAAATCTAAAATATTTGATAACATTTGAGGTTTGCTCAGATAAAAAATTGAGTGGTATATCCATATTGAATATATTTTGGAAATAGTTAAAAATGGATAACATCAATTTTAATTCACTATGGAATTAGTGTCAATCTCCTTTCCTCCGCGAATGAAGAAAATAGACATTTTAAACAACTTGGTTTTCAACTCGATAAAAAGATTGAAATATTAACTTTATTTCCACATTTAGGCAAAATTTATTTCTTCATTATACTATAATTTGTATTATCCTCAATTATCAAAAACTTTTCATGCGTTTCCATTTATATTTTCTCTCATGGAATAAAGAAAATTATCTTTATAAACCACTCTCAAACGTTTTGTAATACTATTCTACTATCTTAAACATTTTCTCAGGTCCAAAATAAACAAGTTTTAATATTTTTACTTTTTTCTCATGGATTAAAATTGGCACTATTAATTTTCTTTTACTATTAAAAGATTTGCAATACTGGTCTTTTATTCATAAATTTTTGTCAAATCAAAACCCAAATTTTCAAATTTTAATAATATTTTATTTCTAATCTTAAAGAATAATAATAAGATTTCATGAAGCGATACTCCCAAAACTTATTCTGTGTATGACGGCAGCGGATATATCTATTGTCAATATATGTATTAGATTGTACAATCCTTATATTCTAAAAAAAATATTTAATTTTCACAGAAAAAAATTGAAATTACCTTTAAATTTCATTAGATAGGTATAAGCACATCTGTACCCCTGACAAGCTTGTTAAATCCTTTTGTAAAGATCGAATCCTCGATTTTTTAAAAAAAAAGATTGCGATCTCCGAAACTTAGTTAGGAATTTTTTTGGAGGAAAACCATTTTTTTAAATATTATTTTTTTTAAAAAAATCTATTCATTTTGAAGTTATTAATAGAGGGTAACTTAAACCAAAATTTAGCTGCCAATCCCGACCCCATAAATAATGATAAATCCTGAACGACCTATCCTGGCTAGTGTTGTAAAATGACTTATTTTGAGCCGATTTTTAAAAACGGCTAACTCAGTATTTTAGCCAGAAAAATATTGCCTAAGTCTCGAGATTTCGGTAATAGATGTCCAAACCTTTATTCCTTAAGCAAACAAAATCTTCAGGCTAGCGTAATATTATTCTGGGTAAAATATTGAGTTAGCCGTTTTTAAAAATCGGCTCAAAACGAGCCGTTTAACAATACTAATCCTGGCCTTTAAATTAAAAAAATAATATATATTTTTTTGTTTATAAATTAAGGATATTGATTTTAATTGCTTAAAATATTTGAAAAATTTTAATATAAGCCTTGCCCAAGTCAATTAGCCCAGCCCTGCTTATGGACCGCGTCATTCCCAAGGCTAAGGATAATTTTACGTTAAAACTCGATTTTTATGCTTTTGGAATCTATAAAAACGGCTTTAAATAGAGTAATTCTCGTTATACAATAAATGTGTCCTGGGGAAAAAAATTTATATATAAAAAAACATAAATTTTTTGAGGATTTAAAATGTAAATTTATAAGAATATTGAATATAAAAAAATGACCTTATATTTAAAAAAATTAAAATTTTGGAAATTTAAAAAATTTTTCTTATTAATAATTAATAAAAATTGTTTGCAAAGATTTTCATCTGATAGACAGGAATGCTTGGCAGTTAATACCACATGAGCTATACTAAAACGCGCTCTACAGAGGCAGTTGAGGAGATTGCGATATTATACCTAATAAACAACTCGTTTAACGTGGAAAATTTATTAAAAGCATTTATATTTTTCAAAAAATTGAGATAAGTTAACCTCCTCCAATCCATCCCTCTCCTTCCTCGTCATAAAAAAGGATATCTTGAAATTAACAGTTCTTGCATTATTTCTAAGGTTTTAAATGCATTTTTTTCAATAATGCTATAAGTTTATTTTTTAAAGGTTCGTTCTATGGTATGTAATTAATTTGATAGTGATAGATTTAATACCTTTTATTAATCCCATTTAATACTGCGTCTATCAATGGTTGACCATATTTTAGAATTTAATTTTAAAATAGCTATCGTTATTGTTGCGGGTAAATACCCCAAATGCCTTTTTCTTCAAATTTAATGAAGTTATAGTATATAAAATAAAATAATAAATATTACAATCAAATTTCAATTGGAACTTGAAGATTTTCAAACAGATATAATACTTTTTGGGCACATTTTACATTTGTTAAGTATTGAATTAGTCCATCAATATTGTATGTTACTGTAAAATATTTATCATATTTGGGGTAATGTTTTAGTGTTATTAAACGGCTCGTTTTGAGCCGATTTTTAAAAACGGCAAACTCAGTGTTTTATCCAGAAAAATATGCATAATTTACTTGACCCAACTAGTCCTGATTCTACTAACCCCTAACTTTTAAAAATATAATTATACATGAAATATGATTATGAAGCGTTCTGAAATGCGAATTTTCAATTTCATATATTGTCAAATTTATTATTTTTGAACTCTTCATATTTTAATGCCCCTTAATATTGCGGTGTAAAAACATTTTGATTTTTACATAAAAAAACCACATTTTATTTTTATTTTTTTTTATTTTTTTTTTCTCTTTAGCTTTCACCTTTTCTGGTGGTAAGCTCCTTCAACATCTCTCTCCACTTTATGTTATTAATACAATCTCTTTTATCTAATTTATACTTCTTTATATTGGCTCTAACTTTATGGCCCCATTGAAGTTTTGGTCTTCTTCTTTTACGTTTGCCCATCACTTCCAAACTCTTAACTTTATTTCCTATGTAGTTCATAGGCCTTCTCATTGTGTGCCCATACCACCTAAGTCTGTTTACCATTAACTTAGTCTTAATGGGCACTACCTTTAAAACTACTTAGTATTCTTGTACTGCGCACTTTATCCTTTCTTTTTACCACAGCAATCATCCTCAGCATTCTCATCTCCATGGTTTGTAGACTTCTCTCGTCTGATTCTTTGGTTGGCCATGTTTCCGAACTATATAGAATAGTTGGTTGTATTATGGAACTGTAAATTTTTCCCTTTAATTTGTGTGGGATTCTTTTATCAAATAGCACTCCAGATAAAGATCTCCACTTTAGCCACCCTTGATTAATCTTACTCTTTATCTCTGTTTTTATTGTGCCGTTTGTAGTGGAGCCCAAATATTTGCAGCTTTCAATTGCCGATATCTGCCATTCATTTATATCAATACTCTCTGTTTCATCTCCTCCTATCACCATATACTCCGTCTTTTCTTTATTTACTTTTAATCCGTGCGTTTCTAGGATATTTATCCAACTCACTAGTCTTTCTTTCATTTCATCCTTAGATTCGGCAAGTATCACAATATCATCTGCAAATATCATATTCCACGGGACTGTTTGAGGTATAGACTGTGCTAATACATCTATTACTGTAATGAAGAGAAGTGGGCTGAGAGCCGACCCTTGATGAACTCCTTCGGCTATTGTGAAGCCTGCTGAAGTACCTGTTGTGCTACGGACTATTGTTGTATGGCCCATATACATATCCTGTATTATTCTTATATATTTTTCGGGAACATTCTTGTGGCGTAGCGCCCACCAGATAAGTTTTCTTGGGATTCCATCAAAGGCCTTTTCGAGAAATACCATGTGTAGCTTTTTGTTCTTTTCCCTGTATTTTTCACTCATTTGCCTAATTGCGTGGAAGGCCTCGGTTGTTGGTCTTCCAGGCATAAAGCCAAACTGAGTCTCTCCTATTTCGATTATATCTCTTAATCTTTTTTCTATTATTTTTTCGTATAGTTTTAGACAGTGTGACATTAGTTTTATGCTCCTGTAATTTTGACAATTATGTGGATCCCCTTTATTTTTGAAGATAGGAACAAGATAGCTCTGCCTCCATTTTTGGGGAACCTCTTCATTTCCAAGTATCTTCATCTACTCATTATTTCTTTTTCCTTTATTATCAATTTCCCATCTTTATTTTTGATTTTCGGAGCTCCGTTTATATCCCTAGAGTTCTTTTCTCGCTGTTTGGCTAATCTGTATATTTTATTTTGCCCTTCTTTGGTATGTAGATCTTCGTACATGTCATCGTATGCCATAGATTTGGCTCTAGCCACCGCTTTT